TTAGGCCCAGAGAAGGGAAGGGGCTGCTTAAGACTACAAAGCAAGAAAGGGCTCAAACAGAGGTTTCCTGAGCTCCAGCACACACCTCCCGCCCCAGCCCCACTCAGCACACTGTCCCTGCATTGGCAATGGCCTATCTGGTGAGTCATGGCTAGGGCAAGCTTCCCTCCTCAGGCAGCTCACAGGCCCTTCAAGCCCACCTGATCAGCACAGAGAAATTTGGGAGCATGAGGCCACTAGGCCTGGGACGCCTTGCCCCCACCTAAGATCACCAGTGCCACTTTGTTTTTCTATATATTTTGCAGAGTAACTTTTGTTACAATTTTAATTTTAAAAATTAAGAGTTTAAAAATCACAAGCAGCATTGCAACCTCGTGGCTGACATTCCCATTACCGATAGCATCATCAACCCCCAAAGTTATCACCATCTCCAACATCAGGATATGACTGCACTCATTCCTCGCCACTTCTACCCCTTAAACTACTGACACACACAAACCCCCAGCCCTTTGTAAATGTGACATGGCCCCAGAATCAAGTAGAAGTGCTCATCTGCCATCTACATGTCATTTCCATCCCCGCCCTGCTCCATGCTCATTCCAGGATCATGTGACCCAAACCCTTCCCTAAACTACCCCTCCCCTCCCCTCCCACCTGGAGGAGGGATAGCCTGACTGAAACTGTGAGCTGAGCTTGCACTCTGCCTTCTTCACTTGGGCAGCAGCCAGCAAGGGGAGCCAGAGGGGCAGGAGGGCGAGTGGCCCCCTCCTCAGGCTTGGCGCCCCACCCACCCAGCCGGTGGCCTGTCTGCCTTCCTGAGCTCATTAACTGCAGGTCACTGTTCAGCAGGAAAGACAAGGCGTGGGTTCTTCGGGCATTCATTAACCGTGAGAGGAACAGTGTGTGTGAAATTAGCAGTCACCTGAGGACCTCGATAATTTCATAATTAGGAGGCCTAATGGCTCTAGCTCTGGATGCCAAATAACTTAACCCCTCACCTGCTGGGCCCCCAACTCCCAGCCCAAGGCTGCATGGGAGAGCTAGCATGCTCACTCTGCTCAGGGTTCCTCTCTAGAGCCAGTCACATTCATTTCTGCCACCCCAGCACCCAGCTCAGAGTTGGCAAGGAGGGAGTGTGAAGCAGTTTATGGAATGAACGAATGCATGAATGAACAGGTGTCCGAACGGGGAAAGAGACCCTGATGCAGGTGCTCAAGGAAGGGATGCTCTGAAAAGGGGTGAGGAAGGGCTCCCCCTGTGCACAAATAGGTGGGCGGATGAGCACATGCCTCTGTGTGTGAGCATGAGGGTACACACACGTGGATCTGGGATGCTGTCTCCTAAGAACGGTGTGTGTGCCTATGTCCAAGCTACCATCTGTGAGCATATTCTGCTGCCTGCTGTCTTTGTGATGGAATCCAGGTGCTTCCCTCAATACCAGCCTCTCTTGGCACCACCTGAGTAATGGTGGCTCCAGAAAGTCTGTATGGGGGAACTTGGGGGTGCTCTTGGCTGGGAAAGGGTTCTAGGGAGCTTGCTTTAGATCTGCATTTGCACAGCAAATGCACTGTTTTTGCTTAGATTGAATATTTATTTGGGATTTGGGGAGACCAACATTAATAATGAGGGACTAAGTTACACCCTTTAGCACAGGGGAAGCAGGTGGGCAGTCTCTGAAGACACTCTCCTTGAGCACGCATGCAAACACACACGCACACACACACATCCCTTTCTGTCTGTCCTCACTCCTTCCGACCTTCCCAGGAACCTAAGCAGGGGAAGGCTGAGCTTGGGGGAGGGTCACCCAGGGTTCCCCGCTGGTGCCGGCCTGAGGACAACAGGTTCTGAACCTCCTGGACCCTCCCTAATTGTAGAGAGGAAGCTGGGAGGTGCTGAGCACAGTGAGAGGGAAGGATTGGGGTGGGGTGGGGGGGATGAGAACAATGAAGGAATAGAGAGGGGAAGGGATGGGGATGGTGGAAGTAAGGGGAGGAGAAAGGATAGGAAGTCTGACGGGGGTGAAAGAGATGAGGGGTGGGGAGAGGACAGAGGCTGAGAGCATTATCAGCACTTAAAAAGCGAGCAGCTCAGTTCTTCTTTGGCACAAATAATGGCTTTTTATGAATAAATCATGTGTCAGACGCCTCCCAGGGAGTGGGCACGGAGGGGGGCGAGTCTGCTGGGCTCCAAGGCTGGCGGGGAAGGGCCAGAAGCAGACCCCCAGCGGAAGGGGTGTTGCCCCCTTTGTCCTGATGGGGCCCAGCAGCACTGAAGCTCTCTCGGGAAGTATCACTGGCCAGAGCCAGGCCAACCTCAGTCATTATTCTGAGGTGGTCTTGTGCTCCTTACCCATGAGGTGGGGTGGATCCCAGGGGCTGGAGTGTCCCTCTGATCCCCTCCTCCCTCCAACAGACAGCAGAGCAGCCTGGAAGATGCTCCTGGCAGAGGCACACCAGCCTGGTGATCCAGAGAGAGAAAGCAGGAGAGAAATGTGCCAAGCCAGGCAGGCACACCCAGGGAGGGAGGGAGGCATGTGGTGCACATGTGGGGTCTCGGAGAGCAACTCACAGGCAGGCCTCCATAGCCCCGCACACACATGTGGGCACTCAGAGATGGATACACAGACATTCACACTCACATGCTCAACCGTGTGCACACTCGACATGGAACCCTCAACCACCTCCCAACCCCCTCAGCACACTCACCAACACACACACACTCACACACACGCCCACACACAGACACATATGGGGCTACATGGACACACACAGATCTGCACGTGTATAGCCCACCCTCATGCAGCATAGACTAGGGTCAGCTCTGCAGCCCATATGGAGCCCAGAAGCAGCTGGACCAGCTCAGAGAGTCTGGTTGTAGGCTGAGGCTAGAGCATCTGTCCCAGGGGAGGCCCCATCAGTTTCTATGTGCTCCCCACTTTGCAGGGACACCCCATACTACAGCAGAGATGTCAGCTCCCAACTCTGACTCTGAGCCTGTACAGATCCTGCCTCCTTTGCTTCACCCCTATAGAGCCCTCTTCAGAGGCAGGGGTGCTGGAGGAGACCCTGTTTCAAGGGCAGTCAGGGGCAGGGACCCTAGCTCAGGGCCTTGCTAGTAGTGTGACCTCAGATAATGATTTCAATCCTAGCTTTTGGTTTCTGTTTGTTTTGATCAAGGTCTCACTCTATTCCAGGATGGCTTCTAACTTGCAGCAATCCTCCTGCTTCAGCCCCCTGAGTTCTGGGATTACAGGTGTGTGGCCCCATGAGCAGCTCAATCTTAATTGCTCCTCAAACAAATCTACAAGACAGGTACTACTGCCCTATCTCCTGGACCAAGAAAGTGAGGCTCTGAGACAAGAGCATTGAGCATTCCTTTCTCGGACCTCTTACATTCTTTCCCCAAACTCTAGGGCTCTTTTGTGTCCTGGTTCCCAGGTTGTTCCTTCTCAGCTGATGCATCCTTCTTCCTATGCCAAAGAAATGTTCATCGGGGCAGACCTGGGTTCCTGACTCAGCCCTGTCAAACAACCCCAGCCCAGGCCATTCTCAGCACCCCTGTGACAACCTTCATGCTCCTAATCCTCTGACCTCTTGCTCCAGCCCAGACATCTTCTTGGGCTCTCTGACCCCACCCCCATCCAGACAGACAGCTCCTGGACAACATGTTGCCCAATGCCAGAGAATACCATTCACACAGTAGAAAGGCTCCAGAACATCCCTTCCTACTCCCAAAGCCCAAGGATTCCTACGGGATGTAACTCAAACTGACCCTGTCCAAAACTGGGCAGACCATTTCCCCAGGGCTCCTCCTGCCTGTGTTCCCCATTTGCTCAGACTCCTCTCCTTTACTTCTCACGTGCAATCCGCGTGAACTCATCCTTCCAACCCCACTGTCTTCCTCTGTCCCCTGGTTTGTGGCACTATCACCATCAGCACCTCTGGCCTGGCCCTGCCTATCTCCCACTGTTGCCCCCTCTGGCCCGCTTGCCTCCCTGCCATCAGCAGCAATCTTTCCACCTCTGAGCTTCAGCCACACTTCACTGCTTTTTGTTCTGGAATCCACATGCTTTCTTGAGTCTGAACCCTTGAATATCCCATTCACTCTGTCTGAATCCCTCCCTTTCCAATGCCAGCTCTTCCCTCAAGGCTTAGCCGATACAGCACTCCTCCAAGGGCTGCCTCCTTCTGTCCCTCAGCGGACTCCCGGCTCCTCCATTCATCACAGTTCTAACCCATAATCACCTACTTACCTACCAGTGCCCCCTACAAGCCTCTAAGTTTCTCAAGGGTAGATATTGTGCTTACTCTGCTCTCTAAAGCAGTCCCTTTGACTAGCATAAGAAGTGGTACTTAACAGGCGCTCGCTCAATCTTCCTTGAAGGAATTGAGGAGTGCGGGACTTTCGCTGAGTACTCTGCGTACCTTTTTTCATTTACTTGAGATGGGTGCTTATACAGTATGCTATAGCGTTGGCCAGGAAAACGGGCCACTGAGACTGAAGATGTGCCTGAGGTGACGAAGCTGGTAAACAGGAGGGAATGGATTCCATGAAAAGTCTGTACCTTCCAAGACTTTTCTTTCCCCCAGGGCCACTCCACCTTCCCAGGTTATTTTTCCTCTCGTTGTGTCCTCTGCACAATGGGCACAAAAAACGGGGCACAAAATATGCCCAGTACAGGGTCTGGTACAAAGAGAGTTTTTGTAAATACAGGTGACCCCTCTTCCAACCTCTAAGGCTTAATTCAAGAGTTGCCCGGGGCCCAAAACTTCCAGCATGCACGTGTTCAGAGAAACAGGTGCAGAGCTCCCAGGCACCATCTGCAGCCATGCTAGGAACTCCGTAGGCCTTGTGCTGAGCAGACTGAGCCTCAGCGAATGCGGACACGAACCCAGACATAGTCACAAGGGCAGACTCGGAGACCCTGCCCCACCACAATCCCTGCCAATTCTTCTCCTCCGCAACTGTCCCCCTCCCCGCTGCTAGCCCAAGGCGCGGGAAATATTTAAAACAATTTTATTCATGAAAATATGCTGTACAATGCACTCTACACGGCCTCGACACGGCACACACGCACACGCACACGCTGACGGCACGGCCACGGTACACTGCCTACGATACGCGCCGGGGACGCCTCGCCCACCGCCCGCCCCGACCGGACACTTATAAATATGGGAGAGGGGCCAGCACTGGTACGGAGAAAGGGGTGTTGGACCGGGGATCCGGATCCGGAGCTGAGGCCCACTGGAGAGGCTGAGACCAGCACTGGGGCCATGATGGGGCTGCCTGACCGGGGAGGGGAACATTAGGGCCGGCTAGGATGGAAGGGACAGGCTGAACCGTGGGGGTGAGGGTTGCTGTAGGCTTGGAGTTGGATTGCTCAGGGTGGATGGCCAATAGACGAGAGCTTTTGGGTTGCTGGCCTCGGGCAGTGAGACTAAGATCGGTGGGGAATGGTGTCTGTTGGGGATCAAAGTTTGGGATGGGCTACGCGTCCCAGCCACCACAAGGGTTGCGCAAATGAAAATGAAGATTCAGAAACGCCCCCTGCCCCATCTCCCAGTTGGCTCCGTGGCCAGCATCCACACCCAGACGGTCCCCTCGCTCTTCTCCACTCTGACCCGGCCCAGATTTCAGCCTTCTCTCTCTCCCAGGCTTCCGGCCCAGGGAGGAGAGATGCAAGGCTCGGGAGTCGGGCAGGAAGGGTGGGGAGCCCCAGCCCCGCCCTCCCACTCCCCCCGCTGAGGTCAACCCAGGGAGGTCTCTAGCACGGCTGGGGCTGCCTCCTGGATCCTTTCGAGGACTGGATCGGGGATGGGGACCCGGGGATCAGGATGGGAAGACAGAGGCCCCCTGGGGACGGGACCGGGGCATCCAGGATGCAGCTGGCAGCCCTCAGCCCGGCACCCAGCTCTGGTTGGGGGGCGGGGCCCCGGCCAGGCCGGGCGGTGGCGGAGGCAGGGCAGAGTCGAAGTTGAAGTCCATTTCGTCGCTGTCCATGAAGTCGTTGAGGATGATGGACTCGACGTCGCACTCGAGGCTCCCGCTGAACATGTCGAGGTCCAAGTCCGCGGGGAAGCGGTCGGGCGCGGCACCCAGTGGCCCGGCGGCAGCGTATGGCCCAGGCAGTGCGTCCAGCAGGAGGCCGCCGGGCGGGCCCCCGAAGGCCGTGGCGTGGCCGGGCGGGACGAGGCCCGCGGCTCCCGCCTCGCCGGGCAGCGTCATAAGGCTGATGGGGTGGGCTAAGGCACTGCGCGAGGGCGCGGGCGGCGCGTAAGGGGCCGCTCCCTTGCCGGGGTAGGCGGCGGCCGCACCCGCCAGCGCCAGCTCCCCGGGCGTGCCCAGGACTGGGCCGGGCCTAGGCGCGGGCGGAGGCGGCGGCAGCAACCCGGGAAGCGCCCCGGGGCGGAAGGGCGCGGTGGCCTGCGCAAAGCTGGCCTGCTTGTTCTCCTGGATGGTCTGCATGGGCAGGCGGCGCAGCGCGCCCAGCGCCGGAGGCCCAAAGCCCCCACCTCCGCCGTAGGGACCACCCTTGCAGCTCCCGAAGTAGGCGGGCGTCCCGGCGCGGGCCCGCGGCCCATACGCGTCCTGAGCGCCGTCCAGCAGCGCCTCGGGCAGCCCTGCGCCGCCGCCGTGCAGGCCTAGCGCGCCTCCCAGCTCGGCCAGACGGGGCAGCTCCCCGGGGCAGCGAGCGCCCAGCGCGGGCGACAGCGTGCTCGCGGGACTTGGGTACATGAGCGGCGAAGACGGCGCCAAAGCCTCCAGGGCCTCGTCGTCTTCCAGCTCGGCCGCTTCCCCGAGCAGGGGTCTCCCGCCGCCGCGGAAGTCGGCCCAGGCATCGTAGTCGTCGCTGGCGTGCGAGGCCGGGCTGGAGGTCCACTTGGCCGCGGCAGCCAGGGACCCTGGGACAGGCGCGCCCGGAGGGCTGTCGTCGGGGCTTCGCTCCGGTGCCTGCAGCTGCTTCTTCTTGCTCGCTTTGCCCTTGATACGCAGGAACTTGGCCCCATTGTCCATGGACACGGCCCTGCGCCTCGGGGTCTTGCCTGTCTTTCCGCCCTCAGGGTTCAGCATCCACCAGGAACTCTTGCCAGTGCCCTCGTTCTGCACGCGGATGAAGCGGGTGTGCAGTGACAGGTTGTGCCGGATGGAGTTCTGTGGCCAGAGACAAGGGCGTGGGTGGGGGAGTGGGAAGTGAGGAGGCCGTGAGACAGGAGTTAGCGACAGCAAGAGGCGGGAAGAAGGTAGAGAAGTGAGAGGATGAGGAGAGAGAAGAGAGGAGTAGGGAGGGGAGGAAATGGGTAAGTCGGGAAAAGAGGGGGTGCAACTGTAAGTACCAGGTTGGACAAGCCCAGAATACCCATCCTGCGCGTACCCCGAACAGTACCCCCGAACCTCACCCGCACTAACCCACCCACAAGGAGACACAGCCCAGAGGGTGGGGCTAAAGCTTTGGCCTTGCCCTTCCCTGGAGGCGTGGCCAACCCCGGGGCTACTCTGAGCCAGCTGGGGACTAGCAGCAGAGAAGCGGATCCCCTCACCCCAACTCAGCCAGTGGCACCTCAAGGGGCTAGCCAGGCTGCCACGGCCCCCCAGCAGATTATGTAAGGGCTCATGCCGCTGCGGCTCATTTGTCCGCCCCCCTCCCTCCCCAGCCTGGCATGGCGCCAGAAGCCCGAAAACCCAGGGCTCCAGAAATCAATCTCGCGGTGACTGATTAAGCCCTGTTTAGAACTAATTGCTCTTTCGTGTGTGGGGAGAATAAATTACCTGCTTTAATTTCGTGTCTTTAAAATGCAACTGCAGGTAGAGAAGACTGTTAACCCTTTGCTGGGAGGGCCTGGAGGGGAAAGCAGAATAGGCTGGGTGGTCCCCAAGGAAGGTACAGGCAGAAGAATTTTGAGAAATCTCTCTCCAGCTACTCTGAGCTCCTGAAAACTTCCAGGAAACCTTGGATCCCACTAAACCCCTCAACAATTACCTCTGGCCACGTAGATCTTGGACCACCCCTGCCTACAGGACAGTCCAGCTCTCCAGTGTGCCAGCCCCAAATGACTTACCTGCCACAGCTCTGCCCTCAGCTCCTTCCTAGTGGGCTCTTTACACAACCCCCGAATACTCCCCATTTACAGACAAGAAGATCCAGGCTCAGAGAGGTCAAGAGGCCTAAGTCTCCATAGCTTTCTCACATCCCTTGGTACCTCCTCGGCTTCATCAATGCCAACCCTATCCATATCCTCTTAACTTCTGCAGTGCCAATCTGCAGTGCTCCCTGGCCTGTATGGGCCTGGCCTGTATGGGCCAGGCCTGTCCTGGAGACACAGAAAGGCAGCAGAGTCCACAGGTACCTGGAATAGAACTCCTGCTGAGCCTTCTAACTGGTGGCCTTGACCTCGCTGCTCAGGCATTGCTGTGGAAACAGCATGGGCTTGGCAATCAGAGGCCTGGGCAGAATGCCAGGCTCTCTGGGCCATAGCTGGGTGCCCGTGGCTGTGTATCAGTCTCTGAGCTACTCTGAAAAAAATGGCTAGTCATAACCACCTGATAAAGCTGTTAGGTCACTATATGAGCTAACGTGTGTGGTTAAGTGTTGGTGAACACAAGTGCTCATAAATGTAGGGTAAACCCCTCACTCTGGCTAGAAGATCTCATCCGTTAAGTCACTCAGCAGACCTGCTGTCTCTATCTCCTTCACATCACGCCCCGAGCACAGCTGTGCTGTGCACCAACCTCTTGGGGAAGTTGGCATTACCCCACTTCATCTACCAGGTGACAGAGGCCCAGAGGCATGATGTAACTTGCCCACAGTCCCACATCTAGGCAGCAATGCCAGGGACTACCCAGCTCTGCCCAGGTCATGGATCTGCTCTTAACCCATTAATCCACTGAGCCACACTTGTAACCAACCACTGTGCTGTAAGGGCTGGTGGAGACTGCAAGTCTGCAGGAGAGCCCTCCTGCTGCCCAGGGTACCCTCTAACCTCACCGGAGCTCTTAGTCTTAACTTGACTCTTTGGAGCCTCAGGCTCCCTATCTCTGGCACTTTCTGGCCTTGGGAGCAACAGCTGGGGCTTGCCAGCCTTGCCCTGCCTGGGGCCCTGAAAGGAGGGGAGCTCAATCCCCAGGGTATGATGTTCCCTCAGGTGGATACCCCTTCCCCATCCAGCCCTTGCACCTGGCTCCCTGGCCCCTCCCCCACACCTGTGTTCAGGGCCCAGGAGGCCTCACTTCTCATCCCCCATAGGACTGGCTTGCCAGAGGTTCTACCTCCTACCTCCTCACTTCTCCAGCTGGAGGTGGGTCAGGCAACACCTCTTTATCAGTGTCATTTCGTGCTAGCCTGGCTCAGAGTGCTGGAGGAGAAGGATTGACACTACCAGGTACCACACCTAGTCAGTACCAGCCTGTTCAGCCCTGGGCACTCAAAGAGCTTCTTATCTCACATAACCATTATGTCAGACTCCACAGAGTCAAGATTTGGGATCCCTATCTCAGGATGAGGAGAGACTCGGAGACTGTGAGTTGCCAAGGTCACACAGCTTGTTAACCATACCGCCAGGCATTAATTTCAGATTGCTCTTACTCTGAGTCTAAAGGACATTATTGTATTCTGCCATGGGACAGAAAAGGTGGTCTGAGAAAAGAATCTTAGGAAGCCAGTATTCCGGTGCTCCTCAAACTTGCCACATAAAATATCCCTAGAAGCCTGTGACACAAGAAGGGTAGGGGCATGGTGCAGGGTCAGAATTTCCTACGAAGACTCGTGATTCCATTTTAGAATTCAAGGGAATTGTACACGTACTTCATAACACATCCACATTTTCTTTCTTTTCTTTTTGGCAGTGCTGCAGATTGAACCCAGGCCCACTGAGCTACACCCTGAAGCCCCACACTTTCTTCATCTCTTTATAAACATTATAAAAATATTTTAGATTACATGCTCTAGGCCAAGACATGCTCCAGGACTACAAAGGATTGTATTCTTCTATGATCCCTGCCACCCAGGAACCTGGGAGCTCCAGCCCCAGCCTGACACAGTGGCTGGTTCAAGGATTTGCCCAAGATGGCCCAGGACCGGGTGTCGGAGTAGGGGTGTAAGTGCAGGCCTCCTGACCCCCACCCTGGTGCTCTTCTCAATCTACCAAGCCTGACTGATCTAGGCAAGTCCCATCTCTTGTCCAGGACTCAGTTTCCCTCCCTATGTCAGTTGTACTCTGGAGACCTTTCTAGTTTGACATGGAAAATTCTTGGAATCATATAGCCTAGAAGTTTCAAACATTTTTTAAAAAGCAGTGGAACTCTTTTGGAAATGCAATCTCACGCAAAAACTGAAGTGCTAGGTGCTGGAGCCATCAGCGAAGGGGGTGAGATTATCTAGAGCCCTGTACACTCAGCACCCTCCCCTCTCTGAAAAAAAAATCCTTGGGGAGGGATTCTGCAGGCCGGATCGATGGGACAGCTGAGGCCTGGGGTGGGAGTGGGGGTATCATGCCTTGGCCCAGGGTCATGCAGGGAGGTGGCTCAGAGCTGCATAAGGACCTATGTCTTTGATTGCTGAGCTGGGCTCTACAACAGGCAAGCGCCGGGGCTGTGCCCCAGGAGAGAAGCCCAGGCCCTTCAGAAGCCCATTATGCTTTTTCTGGGCCCTACTACCTGGTAGCAACCAGAGCTCCCCACCGAGATCCAGTGGCAAGCACTGATCATAACTCTGGTTTGCATGCAAAGTCTCCTGGGAGGCCAGAGGCCATGGAGAAAGTAAGGGAGGTAGAGGAGGGAGCTGCCTATACCAGGGAGCAGTAACCAGGGCTCCCTCTTGGAGTCACCTAGCAACCCACCACCACAGCCACAGCCACAGCAAGCCTGGGCTCCCCTGGTGCCCAGAGCTGGGCCTGGTTTCTGAGACCTCCCACACCTACATCCAGGCCTGGTGCATGTTCCTAGGGGAGACAGAACCTCCCAGATTTGAGGCCCCAGGGAGATCTGGGGGTCTAGAGAAAGAACAGTGAGTTACACCCCCTGCTCATACTATTCTCCCGCAGAACGTGTACCAGGAAGAACAGCACCCCTGGCCTCACCCATCAAGGAGAGGAGACTGGTGAGGTTGGCACAGGACAAACCGCATAGGCTCTAGTGTTGGATCTAGATGCCAGCTTTAGCTCCAACGCCATGAAGAGTGCAACCCTGGGGCAAGATGCTTTGAAGCTCAAGCAGCTACCTGCTTCCACTTTCACTTCCCTGCAGCGCTCCACACAGCAGAGTGATCCTGTAAGTAACAGGGCCCCTGCCATGTCCTCCATCTCACTCAGACTGTGCCAAGGCCCACAAGACCCTCCATGACCTCACAGTGTGCTGCTCCACCCCTCCTGTCTGTTCCTGGAATCTGCCAGGTAGAACCCCCTCAGCCCCCTAGATGCCCCTGACACCTTGCATCTTCAAGTCTCTCTTCAGCTGGCTCCATCTGCAATGAGGCCCACCTTGATCACTCTTAAAAACTGCTCCTCTTCCCTGCCATCTCTTCTTTTTTTTTTGGTACCGAGGATCGAACTCAGGTCCTTTCGCTTGCACAGCAGGTGGCGAAACCACTGAGCTAAATCCCCGGGCCTCCCTGCCATCTCTTGATGTCTTTACCCTACTCTGAATTTTTCTAAAGCAACTATCACTTTCTAAATAAATAAAGGTTGAGCATTCCTAAACCCAAAATTCTAAATCTGAAGTGCTCCAAATTCTGAAACGTTCTGAACACCACAGTGCTCAGAATGTTTCAGAATTTGGAGCATTTTAGCTTTCAGATTTTTGGATCAGGAATACTAAATGAGTAAAGTATGTGCAAATATTTCAAAATCCAAAAATCTCTAAAATCTCAAGCACTTCTGGTCCCAACCATTTTGGATAAGGGATACTCACCCTATATATAATTTATTTATCCTCTGTTTTAATTATTTATTGCCTGGCTGCCCTTTGAGTAGACTATAACTTTAATGAGGGTGGTGATCTTTGTTCTCATTTTTTTCTCTATCTCACATGTTTGGTGCATAGTGGGCACTTAAATGTGTTCAGAATTAATGAATGAGTGGAAAAAGGAAGCACAATACTGTGCTATATAGGTAGTTGAATAAGACTGCCTGGGCTGGCACACATTAGGAGCTTTTACAAAGGAGGCTGAAGAGACCATAGGACAGAATGAGAACCCAGCAGGATATTGGGGAAAGTCAGAAACAATATGGGGCACAGAAGGAACTACAAGCAGAAGGAAGTTCTTCTGAGACAGCTGAGGAAGGGCTTGCAGGTGCCCAAGGCAGCTGCCCTGCCCAGTTCCCCAGGTGGTCCCCAGGCGAACCCAGGCCCATCACGCTAGGACCCCCCCACACAGCCCCTACCTCCTGGGCCAGAAGACACTCCAGGAGCCCCAGACAGAACAGAATAACCTCGACCTTGCCTCCCTCATGGACAGAATGTGATCCATTTGGTGGCAGCAGCTCATCTATCCAGCAGGGCACCCTCATCTGTTCCCAGGACACCCTTCGCCCACGAGCAGTAATGCATTCATCTGACAGCACAACCTCATTTATCCAGCACACCGGTTCCATTTATCCAGCAAGTACAACCTCATTTGCTAACAGCACTCCATTCACCTGTCGGTCCCCCTCATTTATCCAGCAGGACACCCTCATTTATCCTCAAAGTCGGACGCGCTCCTTCCTCCTGTGGTGTGGCTGTGTTCTCTGATGGTGTAACCCGACTGATCCAGCAGGACATCATCTTTCCAACAAGTACACTTCATCCCCTGACAGTACAACCTCATTTATCTAATAATGCAGCCTCACCTTGCCTCCAAGTACCACCTTATTCCCTGACAGCACAACCTCGTTTATCTTCCAGTACAACCTCATTTCTCCTCCCAGCACAGCTTCATTCCCTGACAGCTCAACCTCATCCAATCTTACTTCTCCAGCCAGGGAAAACCAGATCTCTGGGGAAGAGGAAAGGAGTGTGGAGAGCAAAGAGAGGTCCCACAGTTCTCTGTTCCCTGCCTACAGGGAGCTGCCTGGTACTACAACTGTGTTCCATCTTCCCAGGCCCAGAAGGGCTCATGGACTTTGCATCTCTCCACTATTGCCTTGCCTCCTAGCACTAAAAAGGGCCCACAGGGTGGGTTCTGGGACATGGACTCCATGATCTCTGTGCCATCTTCTGATTCTGTGATCCCAGGCAGGGGGTATGGGGAAGGTTACCCTTCCTCCGGGCACATTCAGTGGTGTGCTAACTGTGTTGTTTAATAACCAGCTCTCTGGGATGAATAAAACCCTGCCTGATTCAATTTGTAGCTTTTGTTGATTTCTGTGGTATGGATACTACATCGTGGCCCATTTGGAGCTGCCAGCGTGATGTCACCAAGTACAGAAATGGGAAGAAGTGTGCACACTCAGCTCTCACGAGCCAGTGTGAGCCAGCTCCAGCATGCCATGAGTACATGCTTCTAGTACTGAGGCAGGAGAAAGGCACCACCTGCTATGTGCCAGGCATAGGCAAGCCTCTTTTATTCCAATAACCATCCTGCCAGTAGGGAGTGCTATTTTACAAAGAGGGAACCAAGGTGAGTCGAATGACTTCTGAGGCCTCAAAGCTGGGAAGTGATGGAGCCAAGTTTGAGTTTCAGGGATGTTAGATTCCAAAGCCAGGACTCTCCCCACTCCCACCCCCAAAGTGGCAGAGGGCACTCTGCTCTGCTCCACTCCCTATTCCAGTGGGCACCTTTCCTTGGCTCTCAAATCTAAGCTCACCTAGCTTCCATCAGAAACAAGAGACTCAAACTTTGTCTGCCACCCCACCCCACCCCCACTCCAACTCTGTATCACCTCCTTGCTTTGCTGGTACTTGGGGCTTCTAGGATCCTCTGAGTTCAGTCCTGGGTCTTGGGTCCACTCATCCAAGCCCAAACCCAAACCCAAGGTGCAGTATGGACACGACTCCAGGTTCCATCACAGACAGTCTCCACTCAGTACCCCCTCAGGATACTAACCCTGCTACCTGATGGGGATGAAGACCCAGCTCCTCTTTTGTGATTCCCCAGAGTAGAGACCACCTGCGTGGCTGTGGCAAGAGCTCTGATCCCATCCAGGACTCCCATTTCCTTTCTCTCTCTTTCCTTCCCTTCCTGCATGAAGAAAGGACAAGGGCAGGGGTTGGAATCTCAACTTCAGCCATGTGACTTTGGGCACCCCTTGTAAAGGAGGTAACCAACATCCACAGGAATCCCACATATCAAAAATCTCATCATTTCCCAGATGTCTCAGAGCCCCAGCAGCAGCTCCCACCCTCTGTCCCTTACCTCACTCTGGAGCCTTATCCTGGTCCAGGACCAGATAGAACCATAGATTCCCTGTGGTCCTTGGCTTCCCACCTAGGGTGAAGATGGTTTGCTCACCCAAGCAGGCATCTCAGGAAAAGGGGTAACACAGATAACCTTGGCATCTGGAGCCCAAGTACAAATCCTTGGCACTAGGCTCTGCAGTGGAGCAGGGATAAAAGGTCAAAGGGAGGCACAGGGCCATGGAAGCCTATAAGAGAGTAGGCTCAGGATCCGTAGTGGAACAGAAGTGGGCAGCAAGTTCTAGGAGGAAGCAAGTATTGAAGCAAGGCAGTAGTCCAAGGTCAGGTGGTGCCAAGCCCCCACCCCAAAGACAGCAGAGCCCACACACCCAGCCCAGGCAGAAGTCCAAGCTCACCCCTACAAAAAAGGCTATTATCCATGGGCTTTTGTTCTACTCCAGACAGATACTCAAGAGTCCTCTGGTGCTCTCCAGCCCCATCACCCCAAACCCTCAGGCCCCTCCGGGCCTCTAGCCACTTGGGATGTCTACCTCTCTGTGCCTTTACACACTGTTCCCTTTGTCCTTGCTCCTTTCTGCTCAACCAGTTCCTGCTCCTCCATCAAGGCCAGCTCTGTGGAACTTTCCTGAACCCCTCTGAAGGCCCAAAGACAGCTGCTGCCCCTCAGTGCTGCTACAGAGACCTAAGCGCAAACCAGCATCTAAGTTCCTCCCCACTGCAACTTCATGGGGCAGACCTTGGCTCTCCAGAGTCAGTATTTACGGTGGAGCCCCGAGCAGTCACGAACAGCTCAGGCCTGGCCTTGCTGTGCAAGTTCAGTTCAGCAAAACCTCAGGTCAGTGCTTCAGGCCCTGCCTATATCCTACCAGGGTCCTGCCTGACCCTCTGGCTTGCTGCTTCTACCTCCCTTTGTTTCCCTAAGGCTCCTCCTCTCTTTTACTCAACGGTGACCACATGCAGTAAACTGTGCTAACACCCAACAGTGATCTCCTTATGGAGTCTTCGTAACAACTCTGAGTTAGCTTATTATCCCCACTTTATGGATGAGAAACTGAGGTCACACAATGTAAAGAATGGTGCAGGAATTTGCACCTGGGGCCTTTGCTCTTTCTCCCGCCCTGAGACTCCACTAGAGAGAAGCCAAAGCCAGGAAAAGGCTCCAGGGTGGGCCTAGGGCAGAAAGAGATGTTGTCCACACTGGCTTAGCACTGCCTCCATAGATCCTTTCCTCCCTCACCCAGGATTAAACAGAAGCCCTCAATGCAAAGCCACTCAGACCCCTCCCCACACTCCTTCCAGGCTGAGCCCCTCCCTTATCCACTGGCAGCACCTCTCCACTCCCCTGCCCCGGCCCTGGGAGCAGCTGCAGTGACCTCACCCAGCCTTGCCCTGGGTCCAGCTCTGGGGAGGACCCAGCAGCTGTGCCCCAGCCCTGCAGGCTGGCGGGCGGGGGCAGGGGGATGGGCACCGTGCCAAGAGAACCATCTGTTCTCCCAGGGGCACGGCCACCCGCACAGACACTGGTCTTGCCCCCAGGGGCCGCCCTTGGCTCTCAGTCCCCATGCCAAGGAGCTCCAGGAGCCCCGGACAGCCCACCCACCCAGGGGCACTAGCCTCATCTGCCATCTATCTTCTCCTAGAAACTCAGAGGTCCTTCAGAACACGCTGGAACACCATCAATGTCGGCTGAAAAATGACAACAGCTCCAGGGACAGAGGCTAGAGGCCAGGGCTGGGTGTGCTGAGCCTTGTCTGCCCAGCCCCCACCTTGAGCCCCTCCTGGGGCCTCCATCCCTGTCACATCTGCTCAGCTGGCAGGTGCCTCTGGCAGAGGGCAAGCCCCTTCCCCCACAGCCCAGCTCAGGTTACAAGAGAAGGAGGTGGTAAGGCCAGCTGAGGACAGGGGAGGGGACAGGAGGAGGCCTCCCAGCTTCCCAGAGTGTTAGGGGAGGGGAACTGGGAGCCGGAGTGGGAAGGGCCATGCCCAAGGTCACACAGCCAGTAAGTGGGACAAAGAGGAGCCACTGTCCCAGGGGCAGGTAGCCCTGGGCTCAAGGGTGACTTAAACAAGTCATTTTCTTCATCTGCAAAAATGGGGACCTAAACCCATTCTGCTTGCTTCCCAAGGCCATGGAAAAGGCTCTGGAGGCTGAAAGCAGGGTGTCAAACTAAGGGCAGGAGGGAGCTTGGACATCAGAATGTCTGACACCTTGGGCTTAGAAACCCATAAAGGGAGCCCTCAGAGGGGAGCTCCTCCAACCCCCCAACCCCCCCCCCCCCAGAATGCAGGGTGTTTCTCAGGGGCAGGCGCCAGGGAGCCCTATACTACAGGGCACCTGGGGACTTGGTTCCTCTCCTTTCCTGGAGCAAGGAATAATAGTGATGACAACTCCTTGGGGACTTCACAGGTACCTTTCCTGTAATCCCAACAAAGCTTGAATGTGGTCCTATTACTGTCCCATTTTGTAGAGGAGGATACGGAGGCTCAGTTGTCCAAGGACACAGAGGGTAAGTAGACTCAGCTCTGCCAGCACCATAACTACAGGCTTCTAACTACACAGCTCCGTCTCACTGGAGGTTCCCAAGGCACCAAGAGAGGCTGCAGGGATCTCAGACTGGCACTGGGGACTCTGGGGCTCCACCCTATCTCAGCTTCATTTTGACTCTGCACCCTAGCTCCAGCCCCACACTGGGCACCTGGCCAGTCTGTCCCTCCTGTCTTCTCTCCACATCAACCTCCAGTGACCTTCCTGGTCATGTCAACCTCACCTCCTGCAGCCTGGAGTGCCAGCTTCTGGTCTTGCCATCCAAGGCCACTCACTTCCCAGCCCTGACACCTGCTGGCCTCCCACAGTCCACAAAAACACCCTCTGCTGATGACTGACCCTGAGAAGTCTCTATACTGAATCAGAATGGAGTGTCCTCACGTTTCCCCATCTTGACCTGTGGGCCCCTTCAGGTTAGGGTCCAGCTCCCCTCTGGGCACCACGGGTGCCTACCTGGTGCAGCCTGGGTTACCACAAATGGAGGAACTGACGTCAGCCCTGGGACTGCAGATCAGGGGAACATCAGGCTGGCCTGCCCCTGCCTCCAGGGAATTCTCTGGCTGGGGACCCAGGGCCATTCCTCAGGCTAGAAGCCTTGGGGATAAACTCCAAGGGAGAACAGAGATGGTCACTGGGGGTTGGGGGAGCAGAGGGGAAAAGGCCAGCTTGGAATGGCCTGGCCAGAGCACCAGGATAGGGTGGAGATAGTCCTGGGAGTTCCATTTTCACCACTCACAGTGGGATACTGTAATAAAGCCTCCTTATTTCTCTCACTGTTAGTTTCCTCATCTGCAAAATGGACAAAGTAACAATATGAACATCACAGGGTGGCTATAAAACTGAAATGAAAGAACACAAGTGTTGGCATAAGGCAGGTTGAATCCTGGGCTGGAATAGTTTAGCAAGGTGTCAGAAGACAGGAAAGGTTGCCAGGGCTGGGGACCAGGCTTGCAGTATCACACTAAGGCCCCAAGTCTGGATCAAACAGCACTGGGCAGTGTACAGGGTCCTCTGCTGTCCTTTACCAGGTATGAAGACCTCAGGGTAGGGTTTCTGGATGTCATTTTCTTCAGCACTGCAGTCCCTGAGAGGCCTGTTGAGCACCTACCCCGCATGTCTCCACCCTCCTCTCCTTGGCAAAGGCTCTCAGGAGTGGTACACAGCAGCCCCAGCTGTGACTCCATTCTCCCATCCCTGTCCTACACAGCATGATTACTAAGACACAGGGGTGGGTGCAGGTGCTGAGATGGAGGCTCAGTCCCTTGAAATTGACTGCATGAGGATGAGGTTTAAATCTCCAGAGAATCAAAAAAGGAGGAGGAGAGGAATGTGCTTAACCTGGGCAGCCTGCTTAGAGAAGCTGGCCCACAATGGGAGAAAGGGAACAACCAGGAGGCCAGGAAGCCACCATCTAAAGCATCACTTCCAAATGATCCATCATCAGTCAAACCTGTTAAAATACAGGTACCCACTGCAGTACCCACCTGCTGAGTCTGACAGACAAGGGCTGAGATGGGGACTGTGTTGTTGAGAAGCTTCTAGGTAACTCTGATCACCAGCCAGTTTGTGAACGAGTAAGGATTTAAAGCAGAAATTCTCAAGCATATGGACTGGGTTCCAGAATAACCAGAAAGGTGGGTCTTTGATCAAATCATCCAAGCACTTCACTTATTTTCTAGAGGTTATATGGAGGGATCATTGTCACATTGCATGTGACAATGGCAATGGGATGTGGGCTGAGAACTCCAGTGTCAGTTATGAAGGTGGCAAGGTGAGAGCCCCTGAGATGGACAGTAGGGAAAGGGAAAGGGGAAGGGAAGGTGGAGCCTGGACAAGGCCAGGAGAAGGCCCAGGGGTCCAAACAGAGGAGTTTGGGCTTGTTTGGCTTGCGGGGGAAACTGAGGAACCATGGCAAATTCTAAACAGGAGACAGCCTGGGGGCAGGAAGGTTGGCTGGTGCGTCGGGGCAGAGAGAACACAGGCTTTGGGAAATGGAGAAACATGGTAGAAGCAGGTCAGCATCCAAATCCAGGCTCTGCCTCATCCCAGCTATGCCTTGATTTCCTCAACTGCAAAATGGGGCTATTAATGCCTACCTGGCAAGACTCAGGGAACATGAGAAGGTGTGCGATGTGCCCAAGTGACTGCCTAGCACCAGGACATTAACTCTCTTAATTCTCATTCCCTTTCTCACAAGAAGCACCTCCCTTAGAGACCAGAAAGGTTTCTCTCTCTGCAGAGGGAGGCCCTGGGGGGAGGGTGTGGGAGGCCCCTCCCCC